TTGTATATTATTTTCTAATTTCGTACAATATTTTAGACACCTTTCTGTTTTTTTTCTAAAAAAAAAGAAGTACACATATGGTATTCCAATTTTATCCAGCTGAACGTTGTCGATATATTCCACGAAATATGCTAACAAAAATGTATGATAATTATTGCGAATGTAGACTTTCTTATCAATGAGCATGAGAAACATGATATTTCCAAGTAATTTTTCCATATACATACAATCATTGCTGGACTTCAATTTTCACAAAAAGATATTCACAAAAATGTTTTCTTTTAATTAGATTTTCTTTCTTTTCTTATTCCTTTTCATTAAGAATCACCTGTTTTCAGCCACTCCAAAATTGACAATGTTGGCGATCGGGAATTTACACAGCTAATAACTCGGTTATTATAAATTCTAAACTTTATTCTTTTTCTTTTTTAATTATCAGATTGAAATTCAATCCAAACCTTCAATTTCAATTTAACTTTAATATATGTAGAGAAGTAAATTATTTCTTTCGTATAAGTACGTTATAAGGAAATTAATATAAAGAAATTAGTATATATTGTAAGAAATAAATTTTACATTCAAGACAATACGTTATAATGAAATACAACACTCCTTTCTAATCGAAAATTCTATGGTGCGGGTTTTGATTTACGTATGATTGTATAGTTGTTTCCAACGAGAAAGCAGGTTAAACCGACGCTTTTCAGTGTTGTACAATGCTGAATGTCACATAATTCATCGCAGCTGGTAAGCTTTTGTTTAATAAGATAACAGGAGGCGATAAATTTGAAGTGAAGATGATCAATCGAAAGTGACACTGCTAATCATAGCGTGAAATTAAATTTTTCTCAGCTTGGCATACACATATATCTTAATACTTTATGTACGAATGTAGAGCGATTCTACGAGAAAAAATAAGTCTTCGACGAAAAAGAAGAACAAAATTTTTTTCCGTCCGAGAAGATCGCTCGAAATTGCCAGCGGACGGTAAATTACACCGGCGCGAATAAAAGAGAGATCTCCCCCTCCGCGCCGGAAGCTTCGGCCGATCGATTAGCTTCATCGGCAATTCACAAAGCAGTCGATAAAATTCAAAGCAACGAGGGACAACGTATCTAACACGGCATTAAAAGGCTTATCTGCGATTCAAATTTTGCTGTTGGCGTTTCGGCCCCCCCCCCCCCCGTGTATCGCATTAGCAAAAGGATTCTCTCGCGATATACGGTCGATTTATCTTTTTCGAGTGCAACAGTTATTTTCTTGGTCGTTAGATCGAACGGGCCAGCAAACGGGTATTCAGCGATTTCAATCGTCGCATAGAGAAAACCGGAGTTATTGAACTTCTTTTTGAAGAGTGTCCCATTTTAATCTACAAATGCAATTATCTCCTTAAATTATTCGTCATTTAAAAAATGTAATTTTTTTGCATCGCTCGATTCTCTGCAAAAAGAAAGATATTAACCTACGTCTAAACCTAGCTAGTTTACGAGACATTTTGATTTCAATCTTGCGAGTGAAGTATTTTTCTTTGCAAGTTACTGAACATCAGAATGTTTTAAGTCTAGCTCAATGATTTCCACTTCTTTCTGAATAATTTTCCCGATACAATTTTAACGCCGCATTATCTGCATTATACAGTAATGAAATTAACCAAATTACCTCTGAAGTGAATTGTTTATCACTCACAGGCCAGGAGAAGAAAAAATGGTCATTCAATGGTGTTAAACTCGATTATCGAAGAAATTTATTTCCTTAATATAAAAAGTTAAGAGCCAATCAAGTGCTCTGACACTGAAATTAAAAAGAAATTTTGAAAATTGATCGATTTGACAATCTACAATGTATGTGAGATCGAGACCATTACACTTGCAGGGCCATCTTTAACACATTCGCGACCGCTGACATGACTTCACGCCTTTTCAAATTTTATTCCTGGTTACCGCCGCCGTAAATTCTTTGCATGCACGTTGTTGCTGCTGATGTGAACTTACGTCTCTGAAGAGTTCCTTTGTGCAAAGATCATCATTTTCCGATCTATCACGCGAAACAGAAATATTAAATCTCATTTTTCCACTTCTTGTTTCAAGATACATGTCATGTGTTTTTCAAGTAAACATAATGATAACAGATAATCTATCATTTGCCCAGAAATTAAAGTATACGAAATCACTTTTTTTGTTACAAGACTAATATTTTCCCTTTTCTATATCTTTAGAATTATTGTTAAATGACTGCAATAAAAATGTTATACCAATTGCTTGAATTTTTGAAAAATTCAGAACTAAACGTGTTATTACTGTAGTTAATACAAAAGTTTCTAGCAATGCCATTTTAGTAGTAGTGTTGATTTTAATGTTAACCACATACATGAACAAAATCTGGATCATTAGGGATTAAAGCTACCTACCATTCTCATAACAAATATTCCCCAAAGCCCTAGAAGTCTGTGTCAATACACCAATTCGATCTTCTTTCAACAGATCTATTAATTCATTTACCAAATCTGTGCTAGTGCATTTTTCTCTTCCTCTTTCACCTTTTGCAATTTCAGCAATTGCTTTCGCAGTCTTTGCGATAATTTCTTTAGATTCATGGCGCAGTAAAGTTAAAAAAAAAAAACATCGTCTACACTAAACTCAGTAATCTCTGAAAAGCAACTTACCTAAAATTCATCTGTTAATAAAAGTATAGATCATAAATCATAAAAATACATCATAAACGTATTTTGTGAGTTGAAATGAAACTGATTTGATGTTACGTGTCTCCTAATTTTCCCCCTTGTTTTAACGTCAATTCTCTTCGCTTTCACCACGAGGCGATGAAAGTTATTAGAAAATTTCGCCAGTCGCGAATGTGTTAATTTGATTCGCTCTATAATAATATATAATCTATAATAAATAAATAAGTAAATTTTCGTCGTCCTTCAATTGATCCCGTTCTGTCTTCCGACGTATGAGGGACGCACGAGTGCTCACTCGTGTGCATGATGCTAATTATTTGACTCGATGCTTGTTAAGGCTAATGGTCGCGATGTAATGGCGTTGCCGCGACGCGGTGGCTGCTGCTGCGCCACATTTCGTCTTAACATTCGTTCTTAGAGAGGGTAATGCACGCCTCAGGGAAAACGGGAACATAACGGATCCGTATAATTAAGTCTGCCGGCCTATGCGAGAGAAACAATTATAAAATCTAGCGGGTAATTGAAAAGCTCCGTCAAGTCACTACTAGCCTACATACGAGGGCAGGTGTTCCTTCTTTTCTTTTTTTCTTTTTTTTTTTTTTTTTTTTTTTTTCAACGAATCTCATCTAAATTGTCGCTTGCTTCTTTCACTCTCTTTCCCTTTTCTTGTTCGGCGAGAAACTTACGCATGCGAGTGTTTACCGTCGCCGTGTGCTCGTCCGCTACGTGACAGTATTAAAGTAGAGACTTTATTTATTTGAATTTTAAGCTGCTATTTCTAGTTAATTTCGATTTTCTTTTTTTTTTTCTATAAATATAGGAGGAAGTTTTAAGAACGAATTTTTTAGTAATTATTGTGATGAATTATTAGGTGATCTTCATTGAGTTAAAATGATATCGTGATAGTTGCTATTTAAATTATCTCATTTTTTTTTTATTATTGTTGTTGCAAGAGTATTTGTTTCGTCCTTCTTCTTACAAATTCAGTCTGCAAACTCTGTTTGACGAGTACATCCATCTTGTTGAGAAAAAACATTATTACCCCTTTTTTGAAGAGGTTTATGAGAGGAGGGGGTGACTCGCAAATGAAAAGCCTAATCAAGGGGTATACGG